GGTACCTGCGTGTTCGAGGCGGCTCGGGCCTCTCCCTGCCCGCTCCGCCTCTCAGAGAGGTTGTTTTTTCCCCCAGTGTTTTCATAATGCTAAAATAACTTCCTTCTCTTTTAGGGTCTCCGCTGTTTTCTTGGAGACTTTGCAGCCACAGAAAAACAAACAAAATACAACAAAACAACAACAAAACAAACCTTTTAAAGTAGTATTTTCAACTATTTCTAAACTACTCTTTTCAGAGTTTTTGTGAGGTTTATGTAGGCTTGTCTCCAGTGGTTGTTAGTTTTGACCCTTTTTTTTTGCGTGTGTAAAAAATACTCAATCACTGAGCAGCCTTGGAGTTTGGGATTCTGGAATGGAGGGATCTGCAAATACATCTCTGCTAAGCCTTTGGTTTTGTCTGTGTTTGTGTTTCACAACATCCCGTCTGCTCCTTATAAAATTGGGAAACCTTGTGCTTGAAGCAATTGTTGAATACTTTGTATTCTGTAAGGAATTAGTTGTGCATCATTCAAGTTTTCTTTGTGGCAGTTTCCCCTGGTTTTGTAGCCCCTGGCATTTTGAGAATGTTAATAGAGGCTTGGTTAGTTTACTAACCATGAAGTTATAAATGTAATGTGACCAGAAGGCTTTGTATAAAAGGTGTGATGGATTCCTTTTCAACTTTGTAAGTTCTGAGTCATACAAGCATTTGTTAGATCAAAAATAAAGATCATAGGCAACCAGATCATAGAGGTCAGAGGCTAGTATGTATCTGGAGAAATTGTGGTTAGCTCAAGCTGAGGGATACACGTTATTCTGTTTTCAACAGGGCACTGTGAAAACAGGATAAGCATAAATTACTGATGATAGTAGAACTCGCATCCTTCTTTTCCCAGCCTAGCTGTCAGGTAAAATGGCTTGTTACTGTACAGCATAAGCCATCTGACAGTGTACAAAATATCTCTGCAGACATCTCAAAACTGGAGAGATCAGCACTTTTCTTAGGTAAAAGACAAACTAAGGGAGAAAGCATAAGGGAGAAAAAGTGAAAAGTACATAAGAAGATTGTACAGTGATACTTAAAGTGAGGCCAATGGATGTTGTGTAGATAATATTTGGGGTTGTTTTTTTTAAACCTTTGTGATACTTGTGTGTCATTCCCATTTGCAAGTAGTACATGAGAATAAAAGACGGTACATGGAACAATTGTTGCGTTGTTTTTAACATAAAGCATTTCTTTCTTTATTTTGGCCCAAGAACATTAGAAACAAGCAGAACATTGGCAAGATCATCACTGTTTTATACTGACCTAAAGATTTGCCCCATGCTAGTTTAAAGTTATCAATGATAAATTGATAAATCTGCATCTAAAAAGTCTTTGCCATTCTCAGAATGTTCCTGGTCATTCAACACCTGTTGGAACATCGTCCTGAGATGAAGATGCTAAATTCTTTCAACAACATCTTCTGTTTATTCCTACACGTGTTTACCTTTTCTGGGCTTGATATTCGGGCAGGAGATTTGAATTTGAATGCTTAAGCAAAATACCGTTCCTTTGTATTGTGTTAATCATCTGTTGAAGCAAAGAGCGGAGATTTTTCCAGAGACAAATACTCAAAACTTCTGTTAGGGAACATCTATTTCCAGCTCACAGTATTAGAGTGGAGTTTGGGAAATTCAGCCTAATTCATGGTGCTGTTTCACTTTAGTTCCTGCAGCATTTGTTATTGCTCTTCAGAGAATTAGAAGTTTCTTTGTGGTCCGTATTGTAATTTTAATGTGGGGAAATATTCAAGACCTCACAAGCATTAACGTCCACCCTAGAAATAAATTTGCAATGGATACTGAAGAAGCTACAGAAACCTTCTTCTGTCAGACATGGAAGTCTACTCAGTACCTTGAAATTCACTATAGAAAGATTTTGTCTTTTATTAAAAGTCGTGCAAGGTGGCTGACTACCACAAATTCTTCAAGTTTTTAACTTCTCTTTTAAAAAGGCCAGTTTCAGCAGAAGCTGAGCTTAGACCTCTGGTATTACACATTTCTTCCTTGACATTCACATTTGGTGAATTAACCTTTTTCTCATCCTGCATGTATCTTCCCATGAAAATGTGATTACAAGAAACAGATGGACTATGGTCCTTAAAAAGAACTTTAAAATGGGCAATAATATTCTGAAGAAATTCAGCTCCTCCAGGAGACATGTTCAGTATGCTTTGCCGTCAGTGTGGTAACTGAAGGTGGGGGGGGGGTGGGATGGGCTGTGCAGGTGTGTTCAGATTGCCTCCAACAAAGGTGACTTTTGGTGGTCACTTTGCAACTCATGGGTCTGGTTCTAGTCCTGTGCCATGAACATGCTGATATTTTCCCTATTCCCAACGAGAAGTGGTGGTGAAAGTAAGTCTAGGTGGTTCTTTATAGAGGAGATCTTTGTTAATTATTTTAAGATCCTTTAAACTTAAAGGATCTGCAAATAATACAGTACATCTTCACTGAATATATTACTAACCAACCATTAACAACAGTAGAGAAAAAAATACTGTTCAGGTAACATTGCCACTGTCGTCTTAATGCTAGAAGGGGAAAAAAAACAGATTGAGCTAACTTGGAATAAATTCTGCAGTCAAGTGCAAATAATGTGAAAGGAAATAAGCAAACTTGACTTACTAAAAAATAAAAGGAAAACTATGCCTTTTAAATTTAGTTTTAAGGTACATATATGTTGTTGTGGTTAAGTTTAAAAAATGTAAATTGTTCCAGATCCTAACAAAGGGGAATAAATTATTCATTGCAATATGTAGAGCTCAGTCAGGATTCCCCTTGTGTTTTGTAATAAGAAAGCCAAATTGCCTGAGCAGTGCACACTTAATTTAGCTTTTCTGCAATTAAAAAATAATTGAAATGCTCTTTTATTGCAGCAAGTCAGATAGACTGTAGATGCTTTGAATGCAAAGCATGTATGTGGTAAGGTAAAGAATCTATCAAGAGTACAAAGATCATCCTGGAAAAGAAAGTATGTTGTTTTTCTTATTTACATTACTCAGTCTACAGACAAACTCACTACTGGAAAAGGTATAATTCAGGAAAAATAAAGAAATATATTTTTACTGTTAGCTTTCTGAAATGGAATACATCTGAAACTGGGCTGCTTTGCTTTTCAGCCTGTTATGACTCTTAGCCACACGCCTAATAAAGAACCCATTCCTGAAAGCAGCACAGCTATTACATATTAATGTTTAAGGGTGCAACTGGGATTAAGGGCACACTTGCAAGATGATGTGTCCATGTTAGTTTGCCCTATGGACCTATGTTCATGTTGAAGCTATATAAATGTTGTTAAAATCTGCTGTATGTGTAGTCCAGCAAAAAAATTGTAGCTTAGTTTTGCCAAATTCCAAACCCTGGAGAAAGGAATACTAAAATGAGACTCTGTCACTGGTGTTTCTAATGACTAGAGAATTGCAAACATATTCCTGGTGTGGTTTTCATTGCATTTTTAGTTCAGAATACAGCTTGATTATTCAATCTATATTTTTGTTTTCTGTAGTGTTCTATGGCTTCCGCTACAAGAACATTTTTCCCTTCTATCGCCCCATCCAGAAATACTTAAGAAAATTATTTAGGTTTTAACGTTGAACAGAGCACTCTCAAATAGTCATTGGTGTGTACTTTAGGAACTTTGCCCTTCAGTGACAGCAAGTATTTTCTCAAATATTTGTGTACTGTATTGTATTTGGCATGTGTTTGTAAACTGTGTTCACAGTTGAGTATCTTTGATGAATAAAGGAGAGGTATGTTTTTGAGTAGTGTTCTCTAAAAGGCTGATAAACATACAGTCAGAATTAACATTTCAGTGCTTTTGTCTTAATACAACTCAGATGTTAGAACATGTTACTTCCCTTTGCATTGCTTTGATCAGAAATAATCTGATACACCACACTGTCAAGAACATGGTTGTACTGCCTTTGAATATTATTTTTTTTCTCCTTAAAGCTGTCTTTGCTAATTAAAAAAATAATTTAAAAAAATAATCAAGCCTATTTCTATGTTGTGAATAGTTTTTTTTGTTTGTTTGGTGATTTGTTGTTTTCCATTTTTTTCTTGGGTTTGTTTGTTTTTTAAACAACAGGCAAACATAACCAAATATTCCTAAAGATTTGATTAGTCAAACAGTTCTTAAACTAATATTGATTTAAATTGATTAGAATATTGAATACATTAATTGACATTAGGGGAGCATAGTATCTATTTGGATTCAGTGAGTCAGTATCAAACATTTGTAATTTTCCCTAAATTCACCAATTTAGAGGAAGACACGTACGTAAAATTTACAGTGTTCAGATTAACCTCTCTTTTCTGCAACATAACCTGTGTGCCTGGGTGAGAAAGCCAGAATATGGCTGGTCTTCTGTGATATGGCAGAGTGTTTTCCCTCTTTAAGTAACACAAGGGAAATAGGATTCTTAAATGTTTGGTGGTGATACCACAGAATCACAGAATCCTAGGGGTTGGAAGGGACCTTGAAAGATCATCTAGTCCAACCCCTCTGCCAGAGCTGAAATACTGAATTAAACATCATTCTGACAGCTGCAGAATTTGTGGTTGTGTCTGCCAGAAGCTGTGGAGCAGAAGACCCATTCTTATGGGTAACTCCACTATTTGTGGATTCTTTCATAGCAGTCTCCTTATATATCTGCAGTAGCATTTCTGTGTCATTGGTTTTGTCTGCAAGGTTGGTTTGATATATTTCAATTGTCTAAAATTCATGTCAGACAACAGTGACAATTTTTCAATACCTCTTAATTGCAAGTTTTTTGATTGCTGTTTGGTTGGGACCCTCTACTTGAAAAGGTCATTCTTTACTCTTCTCATATTTTTCACTGTGGTTAAAAAATGTACTGTTGTAGAAAAATCTGAAGATACAATAAATCCTGTGGTACGTAGGATATCCTTCATCTAACTTTTGTGACATCCATTGTGTTCAAGGATAATCTTTTATATATGCTTGTCCAGTGCTGGTGTGAGTAAGCCTATTAAAAGAATTTGAGTTTTCCTGTGCTACGTCAAGCAAGAGATTTGACATGTAAATTGCCACCTATAAGAATATCATTCGTTATTTCCCTGTACAGAGAAATGAAGCAAGACACTGCCTTTAATTATGGTTGCAATTTCTTCTTTCACTCTATTAAATCCTGTAGCTGTGGTTGGCTGTTAATTACGTCCTTTCTCCCATCTTGCTTACTTTTATTTTAGACCTATCAAATTGTTTGTTCATTGAGCCAATTCTTTAATTCATTACCTCAAACTTGTGTGCTGTCGTGTATTTTCTTTTTGACTCCAAATGCTTTGCTGGGCGTTTTTCTTGAGTTGGACTAAGAAACACTGATTAGAACATTCCTTAGATACTCTATTCAACTTGTGCATTTGTTAGGATGTTGTTCTTAGTTTGAGTGTTGGACTTTTGAGTCAATCTGCTAGTAACATTTTGCATTCTCAAATTCTCCAGTAATAATTCTGGTAAATAGCAAGGCAAAGTTAACTTTGGACACGATGAATCCCTATAAAATTGAAAAAAACCTTTTTGTATTTCCTGGGAATTTGTCATGGGTGTATGTTGTCTAATGCTGCATTTTTTACTATTACAGCATTCCGGAAAATTGTGTACATAGATTTCCATTCTGACAGTGCATAGCTGTGCACTCATTGAAATGCAAATAGAGATTGTTTCTATGACAGTTGTACTCAGAGCATGGCAGCTGATACTGGTGCATTTCTTAAGTCTTGGGAAGGTATTTTGGTTTTTTGCATCTACAGTTTATTATCAGTGTTAATCTGAAGCCTGTAAAAATCGATTATGTATCTTTCTGTTTTATAAGGGAAGTCTGTGTCAACTGTAGTGTCAGGGGAGGGGGAGCAATTTTTCTGGATGAATAAAAAAACTATTGAAATTTGATAGACTAATAAATATTGAGTAGCTAATTTGGATTTATGCAACTCTGCTAAGATTAGAGGAACATTATATGAACTCTTGATTTCCTTTCTTCTTTTTTCCTAATTCTTTTTATTTTGTGACTTTCAGAAATCCTGCCAGAAACCTGTGGACAAATATATTGAGTATGATCCTGTTATCATATTGATTAATGCTGTTTTATGCAAAGCACAAGCATACAGGCACATTCTTTTCAATACAAAGATAAATGTAAGTTGCTATCACCCTGCTCTGTGGCTTTTTTTTGTTAAATATATATTTAGATTTAGTAATTTTTTGTAATAGTTGCAAAATTTTAGAGACTTTTCTTCTCCTGCCCTTTCAGAGGTTCCAGCAAGCTGAACCAATTATATCATTAATATAACACAGGAAAATCTCGAACTCCAGCTATAACTAAGAAAGTTACTGTCTCCACAGTAGTGATCCCACAATACTAGCAAATACAGGAGTTATCTTAAATGTTAAAAAAAGCAAATGTACAGAACTGTTCATGCAGTTTTTTACACCCTTTAATTTGCCTGTCATGTTAATTGATGTTGAAAGGATGATGTGCTAAACTAGCGTCGCAACAGAAGAAATTTGCTTATATTCTAAACAAAAAACCCCCAACAACCCTATATAGCTTGTTTATTTAGAGATGTTGAGAAGTATTTTAGATAGCAAATTCTTAGTAATGCTTTAATTTATGCTGATTTAATACTAATTCTTTTATTATTCTTTTATTCACCAGATTCATGGAAAGCTCTATATATTTTGTTTGCTCTGCGAAGCTTATGTCAGGTGGTTGCAACTACAGGATTCAAGCCAAAATATAGATCCTGATGACTTAATAAGATATGCCAAGGAATGGGATTTTTATCGAATGTTTGGTATAGCTTCTTTAGGTAAGATCTATTACTAGTTCATGTTACTGTCTACTGTTGAGCACTGAATAACTTCATGAGTCTTTCAACAAGGCTGTATTGCAAAAATTAATACCAAATGGATGATATTAACCCAGTAGGGTTAAAAACTATACACATACTTTCTAGTTTGCCTTCATTTAATGCAAATGCGTATTTTAATCCCGGTTACAGTTCAGGCTGATGTGATCAGCATTAAATAGCAAAACACTGAAAAGTGTCTATATTCGGAAATCTTTGTCTGAATCCATTTGCACAGTTTGAAGACCAACATAGAGCTGAGCCTTATTCCATATTTCATGTTGACATCAAGGTTTATTATTCATTAAGGTGATACAACATTAAGGATGATCCTTAAATAGAAAATAATTGGGAAAAGCTGTATCTGGGTTGTGTTTTTTTTTAATGAATACACAAAAATACAGAGCAGTGTCATCACTGGTAAAGACTAAATACTTCTGTGATCTAAAACAGTGTTTGAAGGCACGTTATGTTTTTTGTTTTAATTAGGTTTATACTGCTATTCTCATACCTTTTCTGGTGTTAGTGTTTAAAAACTAGTATTTTCCTTAGACATTCAGAGTTTAACTTAAGTAATTTGCTGTCTAATGTTGCTCTATGTAGGTTTTCATAACATGCCAGTAAAAATGCTGGAACTCATTGTTCAGCAGTAATTCATCTACTACAGTTGACGTGAGAGTTGCTTTGACATCTGCATTAATTCCAGTCTTACGCAGAGACACAGTGTCAGTAAAAGTGTAATAGCTCAATGATGTTTTCTCTTGAGTGTTCTTTCTCATGCTGGATAGAAAGGGTTCTTTGCTGGTGACCTTTTCAAAGGAGACAAGTATTGACTTTGTCTTACAGGCTGACAGCTAAAAAAACCCTCTTCTTTTGTTAAATAGGAAAAGTGAGGTGGTTCTTATGCTAAATTTCCTGTGCTGCTTGGTGTCAGAAATAATGAGTATGACAATCCTACAGGCAGAATTCTGTGATGGCAATATTCTGAATGTCATGATACATAATAGTTTAAGTGGTAGCAATATTTACCTATTAAGATGAACACAGGAGATGGAGGATGTGTTCATATTTGCATATGTCTTCTAAATAGCAGTGGTTCAGTTGCATCTGGGACATGTAATTTCATTGAAATTCATCAAAAAAAGGCCTTGATTTTCACTCTTCATTCTCTCTTTCCAACTCCTTTTATTTCCTCTTAGAACAAACTTCATTTTTGGTTGGCATTTTTATTACCTTATGGTGGATGAGACCTGAGATGCTGAAGACAAAGTCTGAATTCATTTTACTTCTCAAAGCACTGCTGTTGTCCAGCTATGGAAAACTTTTGCTAATTCCAGCTGTAATTTGGGAACATGACTACACACCTTTGTGCCTTGCATTTATAAAAGTGTTTGTCTTGATATCAAACTCTCAGGCAATTAGAGGTAAGCTTTTGCTTTTTTATTACTACATTACTTCTATAGAATGTGTGTGAGAATGCAGCTGTTATAGAATTCGTTATTATTGTTGTAATATTCTTTTACTCAGTGTTAGATATGTGACTGGAATAGCTCTGGCTTAAGACTGTTATTTAGACTTTAATAAAGAGTGAATGAAACAAAACACTTTATTAAAAAAGAAAAAGCATCTCTTATCTCACTGTCATCTTTTTGTATATACTGTATTATATCCATCAGATCCATTGGTTAGAATTTGAGACAACTCATCATGGATTATTGAAACATAAAGCAGAGTTCTTTGTGTGTCCAGAAAGTGAAAATTATTTTTTTGCAAGGCTTTGGAATGCAGACTTTTAACAGATTTGTGTGATTTCTTATACATACAAGGGCAAGGGAGGTGATTCTCCCCCTCTGATCTGCTCTTGTGAGACTGCACCTAGAATACTGTGTACAACTCTGGAGCCCTCAGCACGGGAAAGATATAGACCTGTTGGAGAGGGTCCAGAGAAGGGCCATGAAGATGATCAAAGTGCTGTAGCACCTCTAACTGTGAAGACAGGCTGAGGGAGTTTTGGCTATTCAGCCTGGAGAAGAGAAGGCTCTGGGGAGACCTTACAGCTGCCTTCCAATACCTGAAGGGGCTACAGGAAAGCTGGGGAGGGACTTTTCACCAGAGAGGGTAGGGCTAGGACAAGGGGTAGTGGATTTAAACTGAAAGAGGGTAGATTTAGGTTAGACATCAGGAAGAAATTTTTCACCATGAGGGTAGTAAGGCACTAGAATAGGTTGTCTAGGGAGGTTGTGGAAGTCCCCTCCCTGGAGGTTCATGGCCAGGTGAGATGAGGCTTTGTGCAGCCTGTTCTAGTGTGAGGTGTCCCTGCTTATAGCAGGAGGGTTGGAACTTGATCTTTCAGATCCCTACCAACCTTAACCATTCTGTGATTCTGTGATCTTTCTAAATGGCTAGTGATACATTTGTTCTGCTTTCTTTTGCAGTTACATTGAACTTGAACCGTGTGTTCCCTTGGTTGGCCATCTTCTTTGGATTATTTTTGGAAAATGGTGTGGTCTGCTTGTTCCAGAAAATGGGATTGGATGTTTGAAATGTCAGCCCAGATCTGAAGAAATATCAACAACATGATGATCATTTTCTAAGAATGATCTCTGCCAGCAGGCTCCAAAGATGATAGATAAAAAAACGAGTGTTGAGTGTAGGCAGTTTTAGGATGACTTAAAATGAGACACTTCAGATGTTTGGCTTTTTAATGTTGTGAGCCATAAAACTTCAGTCTTAGCTTGTTTATTTTCCCATTCAAAAATATGAATGTGTCACTATCCTAACAGCTTTATAAATCTGGCTGCATAACTATGGCTGTCCCAAAAAGGGTACACAAAAAAAAAAAAAAAATCACTGCTACCAGTCACTGCATTTTGGCAGAAAGAGGAGGATGAACTGTTCCCTTAAGAGGAAGTAAGAGTCAGTGGAAAAATGGAAAAGCCAAAATTTGTATTTCTGCAAAAACAGATTTTCAAGAGAAGTGATCACGTGCAAACAGTTTATGAGGGAAAAGGCAAGAGTAAAACTAGAGTGGGAAAACTAAGTTGCACTTTCTGGAAGGTTTATGTAACAATCCAAAATAATAAAATATCTAATTCTAGAGTAGCCTCTAGGTTCTATAGTTTTAACTGGCTTGGAGTTTTATGTGATCTTATAAATGCTGCTACTTTGTTCTGAAAGCTGCCGAGAGAGTGAAAGGACTCTGATCCGCAGCATACGCCCTGTTTGGGATACGGCTGCTTCTGCCGCTGATGTGCAGCCACATGTCCTGCATCCAGCATCACCTGCAGCAGGGTGAGAGGAAGCTAAAAGTGAGGCATGAGGCTGCTCAGCCATAGACAATTACTTGTTAAAAAAAGTACAAAACCAAAAACCAAAACATGTTTGGGCTTAAACTAGTGAAGAAACATTCCTAGAAGATCTGCATCTTTTTCCCCAGCAGGCAAAGACGACTACAAGGCCCACAAAGAAACTGTGAATCAGTTTTCACAAGACAGTTGTTAGGACATTAACCTACTTCTTTGTGCAGACCAGTTTTCAGTATGTTCCTGCCAAGTTTAATTCTCCTGCTTCAGTTCTGGAAGGTCTATATTTATAAGTACCTATATAGATATACATATATACCTATCTGTGTTTTTCAAAATGCATCAAATAATGTTTTGAAACAGCTTCAAGGTAATTCCAAACAGGATTAGAGTAAATCTAGATTATGACCACAGAAGATATGACACATTTGTCTGCAACTGCCCATGCTACAGTAAGATACTTGGCCAGAAAAGCAAATGGTTGCTTTTTGTTTTAATAGGTCAGAGGCTGAAACCACTCATGCCGTTTGTGTTTCACTTTACGACTTTTTGAGCATGTAGAGAAGGAAAAAAAAAAAAAAAAAAAAAAAAAAGATGAGCAATTCCAAACAGGATTAGAGTAAATCTAGATTATGACCACAGAAGATATGACACATTTGTCTGCAACTGCCCATGCTACAGTAAGATACTTGGCCAGAAAAGCAAATGGTTGCTTTTTGTTTTAATAGGTCAGAGGCTGAAACCACTCATGCCGTTTGTGTTTCACTTTACGACTTTTTGAGCATGTAGAGAAGGAAAAAAAAAAAAAAAAAAAAAAAAGATGAGCAGCAGCTTTGTTGGCAACGTAGTATCTAGTACATGCTTTGCGTGCAATTAGTTCTGGGGAGATACTCCGCCCGCAAAAGCTTGTTTAAAAACACTATGTTGCCAAAGGTGCTTTGTGTAACTCTCATCATCCTCCCACGACAGCAGCACACAGGTTGCAACAGAGCCTGCATGTTGAGAAGGTACAAAGGGAAAGAGCAGTAGATTTTTTTTCAGAGTGTCAAGGATGCTCGTCTGGGTTGCTTTTGTTTTTCTCCTTCACCTTCTGCCTTGAGTTTAAGAGGGACTGAAGTTGTGCTGCAACAGAGAGGGTGACAGAAGAATATGCACTAGGAAAATGCTGGTTTCTGCTGAGCCAAACCGTGTTTGGTATTGTACCTGTCATCTGGCTTTTACCCAGCTCTTTATTCATCTTAATACAACATGAGCATTGCAGCTGAAGTTTCTCATCACTTTTTATGTCCCTCTTTGAGGAAGAGCACATTCTTTCTACTGCCAGTTTCATTTTTCTAATGATGTAACAACAGTATTTTGGTTTGTTTCTCTTAGGTTATCTTTTTTAATTCATCTTGAGTGTCATGTTTATACACAAAATGTTGGGGGTTTTTTTCAGAAATTTCTGCCTTGTCTGCTCTGGCACTGGTTTCAGTCTGAAGGCTGAGTAGAGCACATGTAAGTGTGACTAATGCAAGGGAAAGATTTTTGTGTTACATGTAATGTAAATATTACCTGTTCAGCAACAAATTTGTAAATACAATGTACATACATTTTATTTGAGAACAGTTTTCTTAAAGTTTTTTATTAAAAAAAAATACTTCTGGACATATTCTGAGTTTTGTTCAGAGGACCTAGAATGGACATGAACACATTCCAAAAGAAGAAATGCTCATCTGTTGTGTCCCATCTGCTAATAGCATCAGTTACACACTCTGAAATGCTGCAAGGATCCATCCAACTTTGAGGATGGAGAAGAAAATGAAGAGCAATGGAATGAAAGCAGGTGGTGTACAGGTTTTTAGTCTACAGAGGCAGCATTACTGTTTAATTATGTAGGACTTTCTGCCTTGTGTGGTTTTATGGCTACTCATCTATCGGAAACAATATGACAAGTGCACTAATATTTCATAAATCTAGGAGAACTCAAAGATGCCCTCTGTGTGTGTGGGCAGGTGTGTGTGCATTTTTTATACCTTTGGAAAAGGGTTTCATATGGTGTTTGAGAGAACCTAGCCTATTTTATGGCCTTGCCTGTTTGAAATAGTCATCTCTCCCATGCTTTTATTCCTTTTTGTCCTTTGAGCTCCTCTTCTTTCATCAACTCTTTGTAATGCAATAGTTATGTTCTGGAAGATGTATGACAAATACCACACCCTTTCTAGGTATCTTCAGTTGCTTCCTTAACTTATTGAAAAGGATGTACTTGGGTTAAAAATGTAACAGCTTGCAAATGAACCCCTGTAAACTCTTTGCTTTTCTTGGAATCAAAAGGGTTTTATCATGGCCTATAAGAAATTTGTGAGCCTATGCAGCAACTTCCAGAATTCTGTTGGATGAAATGCACAGAAGAACCAGTGCTGTTATTCAGACTTGGGCTGAGTAATGTCTTAGCGCTTGCACAGTGGGAGCTGGGAACTTTAACTGGGTCCATAGGTCAGGTAAGAAGTATTTAGAAACTACTCTATCCAAAACTGGAGAATTACAAGGTAAGCTAGATAGGGTTAGAGGATAATGTAGGCGCCAGGAAGACTGCTACAAAATTAAAGAGTTGAGAAGACAATATAAACAAGATAGAATCTCAAGAAAAATTAATATGTAAGAAACAATGCAGTGTAGATCAGTATGAGTCTATGATTAAGCAAATACATGAACACCCTACATTTTCAAAGGATAAACTTGAAGGAAGAATATTATTTGTTATAGACATTTTTTTAATAGTCTCAGTGATAATGTGAAATGGCAAAGGATGTTTTCCAAACAGTGAAGTCTGTGAGTTTCTCTAGAAAAGTCACTGGTCACCTCATTAGTGGTTTGCACTCCATCTTTGAAAATACACTTTTATGAGCAGAATTACCAGTTCTACAGAGAATTAGTCACTCTGAATAGTAAGAGCTGTGCAACAGCAGAGCCTGTCCCCTCGTTCTGCAATAGTGTGTGTTGCATTAGGTTTTGCTGGTGGTTGCAAGAGCTACTACCCTTGTGACCTCTTGCAAGTTCAGACAAGCGAGTCTTTACTTCCATGTCAAGTTGTATCTCAGGCATATGAACTGCCGTTTGTTAGCCCAGTCTTCACCGAACTGAAAGTAAAATGGGACATCTGCACTAGAAAACTATTAGCAGCTGATTTCTCATAAAACAAGAAAGCCGTTGTTTTTCAGGATCTTGCATGTTTTTGCAATCCATGAGCTCTCCCCCGGCTGGGTAGTGCTAAGCCCCACAGTGCCATCTGGAGTTAAGAAGTAAAGCACTATTGTTTCCAAAGCTGGAAGGAACATAAAAGCACCATTAAGTACATATGCTTTGATCGATTTTTGCTTTGTAAAATCACAAATCCAAGCTTTTAAAATTAACATTAAGTTTGGAGAACTGATTTGAGTTAGTGATGAAAAACAAGTCACAAAATACTTGTTTTGGTGACTTGGTATCAAGGTCAATTCAATATATGCACCATAAAAGCTATAAAATGCAAATTATTTTAGCACAGCATCTCTTTGTTTAAGAGATAAATAGTCCTGCAAGCTGGAGTTATTCTGAATAGCCCCGCTGAGCTCAGAAAATCCATGTGGCAAAAGACATAGTGAATGCATTCCTCTGCTGCTAAAATCCAATTTTGTTGCTGAATTAATTGGAAATCCAGGTTGCTGCACTACGTATTTGCAGGAAGGTGTATATAACAAGATTCCTGTTTTCTCTCCTACCTCTTATAATGCTGTTTTGACCTTCTTAGTCTTTCCAATAACGCTTACTATATTACTGAGGTGGCTAGAAAGAAGATCTGAACATGAGGAGCTTTATAAAATCTTTTTCCTAAACGTGATCTGCTGTCCTAGATTTGTAAAGCTCTTTTGAGCCCTGTATAAATAAATGGGAGGTCTGCAAAGCAGTTAGGAAGCACTGCCAATGATGCTTTAATTCCTAATGATCATTAGGATAAAATGTATTATTTGGTTTGTGTTTCTTTTTCCTGAATAAAAATGTGTTTTAAGTTCCTTTACATAGTAGCAGAAGAGTGTAAACTCACACAGTTTTCACGTGGACTGGCTGCTGCAGAAAGAAATCCAGATGACCCCCGTAATTTCTTGTAATTTCTAACCATAATCCTGAGTACATTTTTAGGCAAAAGAACTGTTGTCCATGAAGCTGCAGAGAAGTGCCTGCCATAGCTAGCTGAGGAGAGGAGACCTGAATTAAGACCTGA